AGGGTAACGTCGCGATACTGTGTTACTTAATAGTGCAAGCTGACGAAGAAAGATGTTATAAAAAAAGTCCTCAGTAACTCAGCGGTAAGTCAGCAGGGTAACGTCGTTCAAAATCTGGATTCGATACCCACAGTGGGCAAAGCGCAAGATAGCCCATTTTGTAACCTTGTGCTTAAAAACAACAACAGCAACAAGAAATTATAATAAAAAATTCCCCCAAAACTATTGGTCGATATGTATGACGTACAAAAGTTTTATTGTTTCAACTACTGCTTAACGCTTACCCATGACCCCTTGTCAGTTCTTACTGAATAAACAGTTGAAAATTGCATTACTATTTTACGATATCTTGTTTAACGCGTATGCCTATCCTTATAGTTCCCCCCACCCCCCCCGGGTTGCTCAGATGAGTACCCTGGCGGGACATTGGCAAGTTTACGGACTTACAACGATAAAATCAGGGGTTCGATTATCCGCTGTGGACACAAACTTAGCGAAAAGTCTGAAGGCTTATAACGCTAAACATCTAGTTTCGATACCAGCGACGGGCAGAGCATAGATAGTCTATTGTGCAGCTCTGTGCTTACCAATAAAGAAATTACTCCTGTAAGTATCACCAATAACAGTCGGGTTGACTAAGCACAGAGACCGCGCAAATGTTTTCTCCTTGAATCCGAAGGTTAATCCCTTCGTTTCTACACGCGAGAACTTATATGGTTCGATCATCACAGTTAGATTTATAGAATCTATTCAATTGCTATTGCCCCCCAGTGGCACAACTATATGTCTGCGGACTTACTACGCTAGAATCCTGGTTTCGATACCCGTGGTGGACAGAGCACAGATAGCCCATTGTGGAGCTTTATGCTTAATTACAAACAAATCAATTAATATTTACCAGGTAAACTTTGGACTGAAGAAAAGGTGTGGTGTTTCGTACATTACCTAGTTTCTATATATATATTTAATAAAGGTACCAGACACCAGGTAACGGTTGAGGGGGCGGAGTGAGTTTTCAAAGCTAAGAATTTAAATCATTAAATATATTATTTATGAAGAAGCTTGAACTTTATAATGTAGTTAACCAAGTAAGTCAAATATCAATTGGAAACGTATCTGGCAAATTTAAGATTATAAATTGAAAAAAAAAGAAGATCCGGAACAGGTTCCAGATCTGAGATCCTGCAGAAATGAAGACACTATCGTATTGTTAATAGTGATTCAACAGCTGTACGTTATTCGTTTTCACTTCTCTTCCATTAAAAAACGGAAATAATTTTGAAATGAAGGAAAAAAAAAAAACTTTAAAAGTTGAATAAATATCGGAAACCAATAGGCCTAAAATTTGTGATATAAATCATGTAAACTACGGGTTTTCTCATTCTTAACTTTTCTGTTTCGGATTTGAACACTATATTATGTAAAAAATATCATTTCAGATCTAGATTTTGTTTCCAGGAAGTCACTGTCCAGGAGGCCTTTCGTTCAAAACCAGAAATCCTCCTCAGCTGGACTGGACCGTGAGAGACAGATGTTAAGTTTATAACCTTTATCAGAATTAAAAATATGAACCACGAAATAGATTTGCTCTAGGAGTGAATAGATAAAATTAAGATTTTTTTTTTACCTGCTTCGTTTTTACTCAGTCCTTCTTCCATTAACTTAGGCATAGCAAACGATACGCTCTTCCTGTTGTAAGCGTAGCACGCATATCCTATGAACATCGTAGTGAAAATAATGAGTTGGTATGACTGGATCTTCTCCATGATGTTGGAAGTAGTATTCAAACGGATAAAAACAAACAACAACAACAACAAAACCCTGACTAGACCACCGTGTACTCGACAGTTCCAGTAAACTCCGAATCTAATGTGACTTTCCCTTCAGACCGATCAATATATATAGATTTATATATATACTAACCGTTCCCGTGTGCTGTTAAAAAGCATCCAGTCTATCAGCAGTTAGAACTAACCCAGTTTTTATCTGTTATATACCCAGAGATACAAGGACGTTGAGGGAAGAAAACGTACAGGTTTTTTTTTCTTGTTTTTTTTTTTATGGCATTGATCCCGTTAAATCTAAACCGAACTTGTAGTATAAATACGAGGAACTGAAGGATTGTTACGAACTATAATATACAGTCAGTGGTTAGAACTATGTAATACGCTTATGTGGTTAATGCACGAGTTCATCCTGTACATTTATTCACTGACCTTATGTACTCCTTACGCAACAACCCTGTTTTGATATTTGTCTCGTGTTCCGAGCTTTGGAGGTCATCCCTATCTCCTCTGCATGTCATCCCACAGCCTTCACACCTACCCTTCCCTCCCGAGCGAGATGTAGAGTCTGTTCGTAGAGGGTTACAATCGATCGAGTGCAGCAAAAGTACTCGTTTCTCTATATATCTGCACGTCCACTTGAAAATAAAATTTCCTGTCTATGAATATAAATTATTTCGCGTCTATGCCGAAGTACAATAGAGCGAGCTAATGGAATAGTGATTAACATCCTGCTTCCATTTTATTCCAAACGTTTCCCAGTCACGTGATAAATCGCATACGAGTTCAATCAATAATAAATCACTACTTCGTGGTGATGACGTAAGAAATACTGGGTTTCTATCATTCGGTAAACAGTTTTCGTAAAATCATTCCATGCTCGTTTTTTTTTTTTAGAGTGCGTGCTAAGTGTTAAAAAGTTGAACGTTATTTCTGCTTTGACTTCATGAAAACGAACATCTGAAACGTGTGTAGTTATGTCTAAGACATGTACACACAAACAAGCTTTCGTAAGTATCATGTAGTAAGTGCTTTGACTGCCTGATACAGTCTACAATACTGTCTTATAAGCTAGTAACATAATAATACATTAAATGTAGGTATGTGTAAGACATGTACACACAAATAAGCTTTCATAA